CTCTAAATAACACCCTTACGGCAAAGGCCGCCGCCAAGGACAAGGGTTCGACCTTGCTCGAAACACAACAGGTTAACATTTCGACATTAACTCAAAATAACACCCTTACGGCAAAGGCCGTCGCCAAAGACAAGGTTTCGACCTTGCTCAAAACAAACGGGTTAACATTTCGACATTAACTCGAAATAACACCCCTACGGCAAAGGCCATCGCCAAATAAAAAGAAGAATAGGTTAGAGGTACACAACAAAAAATAACTGTTCCATTACAGGTGATATATTACAAGAGTTTTTTTTACAAAGGGCTCAAGGACGCCCTCACAAAAATAGCAAAACAAAAATAAATACAACCAAATCTTACACCACATCATCACCCATGGCATACACCTCATTATACCAAGAATCGGAGGCGAGCTTGTCCGCATCGTCAGAATCAACATCGTCTCCACCAGGCGTGCCGGGGTCATAACCACATGCCTCACGAGCTGCACGTGCTTTAACACGCACATCCCGAAGTTCTGTCTCAGACATCTTCCCATCAGCATGAAAAGACTTATACACGTCAAGCCGAGCTTCGGCATGAACCCACATCTCATATAAATCTCGTGGCACGACAGGGTTAGCCGAAGCATGAGATGTAGAGGGTTGCGACTGACGTCGCACATCCTCCGCTTTCGAAGCGGTAACTTGTTCGTTTAACACAGACAACTCTGCCTCTAGATCTCGGATACGTCCCTCCAATCTCGCTACCTTAAGCGCAGACGTCTCCACCTCCTTGTCCCGTTCTGATCTACAAACACGAAGGGCGTCTTCCAAAGCCACTACCTCAGAGATGGCAGTCACCCTCTCCCTTTCAGCATGAGCCAATCCATCAGCCTTAGCGCTCAACTCGCCCTAAGGTCGACAGCCTCCGCCGCCCTCCTATCAAGCTCAACAGTTAACTTGGCCATCTGCACTTGAAGGTCGGCATTCTCGACCATCACCCCCTTACTCAACTCGAGTTCATCTTCCTTGGCCTTAAGATCCCCCTCAAGTTCACTACAATGGGCAATGGCATTCATCACATCTTCATCTCGCTCTCTCAGCTCTTCGACTTTTTGAGCCAACTGATTCTCCTTTTGCTTGAGCTCGTCACGGAACAGCTGAAAGTCGCTGTCCTGAGTAAAGAGATCAGCCAACGCACGATGTTTGGTGCGGTACTCCTTGTTTTTGGAGGTCATCTTCCCAAAAACGGCCGTCCTCCGCCTATCCCTACGTTCGCGCTCGATCTCCATGATGAGGGACTAGTATGCAAAGCAAATTTGAAACAAAGATTGGGTTAATGATACAAAACAAATCCAAAAATGAAGAGAAAGTAGAAAAGAATTTACCCGCAGAGCCATGCCGAAAATGCTCCGTGATAGCTCTACGTCACTCATTGCCTTAAGTACCGCGCTCTCTGAAGCAGCGCACAAAGGGGCAAAGCAATTTGCCAACAAGTCATACTCCACAGGGATGACTGTGTGTCGATCAGGACCTTCCATCCTCACTTCGATGCGAGTATGTCGCTCTAAGTAAGCGCGCACCTCTTTCGGGTCGACATCCGAACCTGAACTGTCGTCCTCGACATGCTCAACTCTGCCTCCTCCGACGGCGGACGATGCGCCACCCTTGGCAGACCGTACAGATCCCCTGCCTGGATATATTCCTTCGGCCCTGGGGGACCTCCCTGCCCGAATGGCGTTCGCCATAAAAACGGCATCTGTGCCTGAACCAGGTAAAGACGCTACCCCCGAAGCATCAGTTCTGTTCTTTCTAGTATCGGTGGCGACGGCCTTCCCGAGCTCTACCCTTATCCTTTTCCTCGATGGTGATTCATCCCTGTTGGAGGGCTCATCCTGGAGGTGGTAGACCGGTCAAGAAGAGATCTCATCCCATACGATAACGTCACAAGAAGAGTCTCTAGCCGGTACAGATTGAACACGGTCTCCTCGGACGGACTCAGCTAAGGCAAATTGCATCCCTACTGATGCGATGGCTTGGCGGAATGCCAGAACTCGGGCCTTCTTCCTGGAAGCCCTACGACCTATCATCACGAAGAGGTCGTATCAATAAATGACAGCAGACACCCAAAGATCAAAATAAAAGGAACGCTTACCGGATGAAACTCTCGGCCCGAAACGTTTGAGGAAGGCAGGCTAATCTCGAGTCCCCGCCGCATAAGGCAGTATGCGAGCTACCCAGTTCTCGATATCAACAACAGGAAGAGGGTTACATCTCGCAGCTATATAGAAAAGTCACAAATAAGTATAAATTAAATAAACAATGAATGCTAACACCTACGGTTGTGATTTTGCTGTTCAGGAAATCCGGTAGGGTCCGACACCAGATGCTCGGTCCTAATAAAGAAATACTTGTGCCAAAATTTGTGGCTCGCCCGGTCGTTCGTCTCGACCACCAACCCCCTGGTCCCACGATGTCGCATGTGTACCATGGTGCCCCTGTGGAAACTCGGGGAGAATAAATGTAAAAGGTGATGAAGGTTAACTTCACACCCCGCCATCTCCGCATACTGTGTCAGTACTAGGAAAATTTTATACATGTACGGAGATAGCTGCGCCGGGCAGACCTCGTAGAACCGACAGAATTCCTTCGCCAGCGGAAGAAGAGGGAGGGTGTGGCCGATCACAAAGGGATATACGTAAAAAGCACAATATCCCGGTCTATGGACCTCCACGAGGTCCCTCCCAGCCGGAACCATCTCAACATAGGGAGGAATGTTGTACGTAGACTGGAGGTCATTTATATGAGCCTGCTGGATTTCAGAAACCCCCGGAACGGGGGAAGAGGCAAGTTCTTTGTGAAAATCATTCCGGGACATAGGGTTTCTTGGGAGTATCTCCTCTACGGTGGAAAAGTTGTCCCCCTCCTCAACTGTCGTATCCTCGCCACCGGAAGGAGGTGCTGTGGATAACGGGGTGGTGTCAGAAATTTCCTCGTGTGTCCGATGCGTTTTGGGCATCTTGATGATAAAGGGTATGTTGGTGAAACGTAAAACGAATAATTGTGATTGAACGGAGAAGATGAGAAGAAAAATCACGAAAACAGAGCTAAAAACACAAGAATAGATGACCAAAGGAGGCAATGCATACACAAGAAAGGAAATGGCTAAAAGTTCTTGAAAAAACAAAACCTTCACCTATTTATAGGGTTGGCTGGCGCTAGAATCGAAGCGGAAGGCTGCCAATGGCACCAAAACCAAAGCGACAAGCAATCGGTCTCTGTCTCGGGAAGACGCGTAATGATGACGCACGTGGGAGTGACGTCATTTCCCGATAAGCTACACCAACCAGGATATCGTGGAACGCACCGCTCTTTCTTTCCTGGCCAAACCGGCGTAATTCAACAGCCAAATTTCTACGCGGGTATAGGCGATGTCCGCTTATCAAGGACGTACAGGGCCACGACCTCAACAAGCTGAGGGACTAACTGTATGGGTCCAAATTTGGCAACCACGACAGTTACCAAGTAGGACGAGGAACGAGGTTATCGTGGCGCAACATCTGATGGTCGTCGTGATAAAGGACGATGACCAAGAGCGGTCAGTCGAGATGAGATGTCAACGATAGTTTAGACTTAGTGGGAGACAGTAAGAATATGCTTTTCGAATATTCTTTATGTTGTACTTTTTAGGGTTTCTTGGGAGATTGTCCCTTATAAATAGGAAGAGTGAGTAAAGAAAAAGGGGATCCGGGCAAGAGACAAAAGAACACTTTGTAACAGATTTATCTGAGAGAATATACTAGAAAGGCCTTATTCATTAAGTGCAAAATATACATCATGGTTCTACATTGACAGGGTCCAAAGATTCCTCAATCATCTCATATCTCCGTAGCAACTTCGTATTATTACGCCGATCGCATTTACTTAAATTGATTGCATATTTATGTTGCTGCATTTATGAGCATTTAATCGACTTAAACATATTAACCAACGTCTTTCATTTTATTTATTCTATCTATAATTTGGTCTAGATTTATTATCCTTAACTATGATTCACTCCTCATCTCATCATTGATTGATTAATAAAAAGATTTAATACTTTTTTGGTCAAACACTTTCATCGTGCATCTAGGCCACATTAGATTTGAGTGTGAAAATCTTCACATTAATTTATCTAACTAAAAACAATTATCTCTATTTTAGTTATAATTTTGCTCTTTCATGTGAGCTTGGAAAGCAAATCGTGTTATCTTCGTTGAGATTTGTACTTGGGCGTCGAAAATTAATTGGTGGGAGAATAACTTGTACCAATGTAAAAGCATGAAGTTTTAATATGATTATTGATTAAAATTTTGTTATTTTTAAATATAGATTTTAAATATTAATTTAATTATTTTTGTGCTTTGAAATTAACTAATACTAGAATTGTTCAAATACTAACTTTATTTGAATAATGATACTTCAAAATCAAATGAATTTGTATATACTTCCAATTCTACTTTCACTAAATTATTTGAAACAAATATGTCATCGATGGTTTTCTTTCAATCGTAAATTTTCTAACTAACTTGCTATTATGTTCATTTTAAATTTTTAAGGTATTCATTAAAATTCGAATTTGTGTCATTTGAAGCACGTAGATTATTTGTATTACGTGCTTATATATTTTATGTTATTTCCTTCAATGCTTATTTTAAATTGTTAAAGATTATATATGTTTGTTGAATCATAAAAGGAGCATGATAACTTGTGAAATTAAAGTGATAAAATTATAAAATTGAATAAGTGATAAGTTGAATATATTGCGTGATATACGATTGAGCATTTCTATGGGATAATTTTTGTGTGTGATTGATTTAGGTACATAGGATCAACATTTAGCAATTTTAGAAATTTACCCTTTTTATCACTAACTCAAATATAATTTTAAATATATATGAGGTTTAGAGTGAAAAATTACTCATTACCCGCGCAACAAGCGCGCATATATATGCATAATATATATATATATATGTATGCTAAAACTAATAATTTTCCATCGAAGAGTGAGGAAGCTGCCGTTGGGTAAAAAGAGAAAATGGCAAAGAAAGCTTCGTCAAGGTCTAGAAACTCTGCTTCTGCTTCTGCTTCTGCTTCTGCTTCTGCTTCAACTCCAGCTTCTACCAACAGCTCCGTGACAACAACCAAAAGGTGAAGAACAAAATGGAGAAAAGAAAGGTTCTTTTTCCCTTAAACGATTTTTAGGTTATTTTTGCTCTTTCTCTTTTGTTGCTCACTGTCCCATTTGTTTTCTTGATAATTACAGTCAAATGGTGCTGAGGGTAAGATCAACTGGGAAAGTAAAGGCAAGTGGAGTGAAGCAGAGCAAACCCACATCAGGGAAGAAACTTAAGGCCACTTCCAAGAAGAATATTGCAAAAATAGATGCCATGAAGCCTAAGAAACCTCCCACTGCTTTCTTTTATTTCTTGTATGTTCCCTTTACTGAAATTCCTTAGGTTTTCTTTTCTTGCAATCATATTCTATTTTTCTATCTGGGGTTCTTTTCCTTTTCTTTGATGTATAAAATCTCTTAGTATAGCTTCTTCCTTATTAGAGTTACCCCGTGGAATTAGTGCGTGCAAACTGGCCCGGGCACTACGATTATTAAAAAAGAAAGTATAGCAGCCTGCTTATTGTTAGCTCAAGCTTTTAATATAACTATTACCAGGTAAATTTGTTACAAAGTGTGAATTATTGATGTTGCCATAGGCTGCCTTCATCTTCTGGTTTGGACATTTCCTTTTGAAGTTTATCTTCAACTTTGTTTGCGGCACAACGGTCTATAGGCAGAGGCGTGGAACCCTCCCTTCTTCTTCCCCCTTTTTTTCTCTTTCAGATCCGCAGTTCTTCTTGAAGTTTTCAGGTATGCCCGGCCATTTGAGAGGCGCGTGGGGCACATGCGTCGGCGGAAAGGGACAACAGGGAAGGCGTGTGGTAGCGCATGGAGGCTGGAAATCGCTTCAATTCTGGTTCTGCAACCGTCACCTCAACCTCCCTTATTATAATCTAAGTTCTATCATTTGAGAGTTGGTACCTCCTGGTCAACTGTTGATATTCTGTCATCCAATTATACTAGTTTAATAAATTGTTCTAATTATAGCACATATCTTGTTTGCTTCCTAGTACTCTCGATTCGTGTCCGCTAGTTTTCATTTTTGTTCATTTTCTTTAGATATCTTTGCTTGCTATAGTGTTAGTATTATATTAGTTTACTTTAGATTGTATTGGCTTTGGTGGACAATGGTAGAGTGAGGTCATGTCCTTGGGTGGGGCAGGGGCAAGGAGGGCAAGGGGGCAAGGGAACCTCTAGGCTGAGAATTGGGTATAGGAACATAAGTACATTGACGGAGAAGTCTATAGAGCTAGTGAAGATTCTTCAGACAAGGAATATTCACTAGCCTGTGTCCACGAAACTAGTTGGGTAGGAGCTAGGGCGCAAAATGTAAGCGGGTTTTAAACTATGGTACTCAGGAGGCTCGAAGGGCAGGAATGAGGTAGGAATTTTGGTGGATAGGGAACTCTGGGAGCAGGTGGTGGAGGTTAGGAGGGTGAAGGTGGTGGAGGTTAGGAGGGTGAACGATAGACTGATAGCTATTAAACTTGTTGTTGGAGGGGTCACTCTCAATGTTATTAGTGCATACGCACCTCAAGCAAGCTTGGACGAGGTCAAAAGGCATTTTTGGGACGAGTTGGATGAGGTCGTGCATGGTATACCTCACACCGAGAAGCTTTTTCTTGGAGGAGATTTCAGTGGTCACATCGGAATGACCACAAAGGGGAATGACGATGTGCAGGGAGGTTTTGCTTTTGGAGTTAGAAATAAATAAGTAACTTTGATGTTGGATTTTGCTAAAGCTTCTGATTTGGTGATAGCTGACTCAAATTTCCAGAAGATGGAGGATCACTTGATCACCTTTCAGAGTATGGTGGTCACGACCCATATTTATTATCTTCTCCTTAGGAAGTGTGATAGCGGTTTATTTATGCATGAACTGCAAGGTTATCCCAAGTGAAAATCTTATGACCCAACATAGGCTCTTCGTAATGGACTTAAAGATTCAGAGGAAGAGGAAACAAAGGGCTAAATATGGTCGACCAAAGATCAAGTGGGGAGCCTTGACTAAAGACAAAGCCCAAGAGCTGGGGGAGAAGTTGCTGGTAACGGAGGGTTGGAAGAGTATAGGGATGCGAGTAACATGTGGATTACGACCTTGAATTGCATTAGGGATGCAACTAGAGAGGTGTTAGAGGTGTTAGGCTACTCTGGTGGTCACATGGGAATTGCCAGTGGAATGGAGAGGTCCAAGGTAAAGTGGAAGCCAAGAAAGTGGCATATTTAATAGAAGCTAGTGGAGAGAAAAGACGAGGAGGAGAAAAGGATGAATAGAGTGTGTGAAGGTAAAGGAGGCGAAGTTAACAATTACGGAGGTCAAGACTGCATCATTTGAACATTTGTATAGAGAACTTGAGCCAAAGGCAGGGACAAGAAGTTGTACAGGCTAGCCAAGGTGAGATAGAGGAAGGCCCGTGACTTAGACCAAGTGAGATGCATCAAAGACGTGGAAGTCAAAACATTGGTGGAAGAGGCACATATTAGACAAAGATGACAGACATATTTTCATGGACTATTAAACGAAGAAGGGTACAAGAATATTATGCTGGGTGATTTGGAGCACTCCGAGAATCGTCGAGATTTTGGGTATTGCAAGCGTATAAAAGTGGAGGAGGTTGAGGGGGCTATGCATAAAATGAGCAGGGGAAAAGCGATCGAGCCAAATGAAATCCTAGTAGAATTTTGGGAATGTAGGCATGGCAAGCTTGGAGTGGCTTACTAGGTTATATGATGTCATTTTTAAGACAAGGATGCTCGAAGAATAGAGGTGGAGTAGGATGATCTCGTTGTACAAGAACAAGGGTGATATCTAAAATTGGATCAACTATAGGGGTATTAAGCTGCTAAGTCACACTATGAAAGTTTGGGAGAGGGTGGTGAAAGTGAGTGTGAAGAGTGTCTATTTTCGAGAACTAGTTCGGATTCATGCAGGGGCGATCAACTGTAGAAGCCATTCACCTTGTAAGGAGATTGTCGGAGCAGTATAGGGAAAGGAAGAAGACTTGCACATGGTGTTTATTGACCTAGAAAAAACATACGACAAAAACCCAAGAGAGGTTCTATGGAGAGGTTTGGAGGCTAGAGGTGTGCCTATAGCATACACTATGGTGATTCAGGATATGTATGGTGGTGCTAAGACCCGGGTAATGATAGGGGGAAGAGACTCAGAACACTTCCCAGTCGTGATAGGGTTGCACCAGGGATCAGCTCTTAGCCCGTTTTTATTTACCTTAATAATGGATGTACTGGTGCACCACATTCAAGGAGAAGTGTCATGGTGCATATTATTTGCAAATGACATAGTATTGATTGACAAGACGCGAGGCAGTGTTAACGCGAGATTGGAGGTTTAGAGACAAACCCTAGAGTCAAAAAATTTCAAGTTAAGCAGGACCAAAACCGAATATTTGGAGTGCAAGTTCAGCTATGCGACTTACGAAGCTGACGTGGACGCGAGGTTTGATACACAAGTCATCCCAAAAGAGGAAGTTTTCAAGTACCTTGGGTTAGTAATTCAAGGTAATGGGGAGATTGATGGGGATGTCACACATCGTATTAAAGCGGGGAGGATGAAATAGAGGCTCGCATATGGTGTTTTATGTGATAAGAATGTGCCACAAAGATTTAAAGGTAAGTTCTACATACCGGTGGTCAGGCCGACTATGTTGTATGGGGTGAAGTATTGGCATGTCAAGAACTCCCATGTACAAAAGATGAGAGTAACAGAAATGAGGATGCTGAGATAGATATATGAGCATACCGGGAGAGATAAGATTAGGAATGGAGATCTTTGGGACAAGGTGGTAGTGTCTTCCGTGGTGGACAAAATGTGGGAAGCGAGGCTGAGATGGTACAGGCATGTGAAGAGGAGATGCACAGATGCCCGTGAGAAGGTATGAAAGGTTGACCATGGTGGGTCTGATGACCGGTAGAGGTAGGCCTAAGAAGTATTGGGAAGAGTTGATTAGGTAGGACATGATGCAACTTCAGCTTATCAAGGACATGAACCTTGATAGAAGGGTATCGATGTCGAGAATTAGGGTAGAAGGCTAGTAGGTAGTCAAGCTTGTCTCTTTTTCATGCCAGTAGTATTGATAATTAGTCTCATATTTTCTTATCCGTAGAATTCCATTACTATATGTTGTTTCTTTCGCTTCGATTTTCTTATCATCTTTTCTTGCTGTTGTTACTACTTTTCATCTTTCCTTGAGCCGATGGTCTATCGATATAACCTCTCTACCTTCACAAGGTAGGGGTAAGGTTTGCCTGCACACTGCCCTCCCCAGACCCTATTTTGTGGGATTATATTGGTTTTTTTTTTTTTTGTTGTTGTATTTAGTTTTTGATAATCAGGATTTTTCCGAGGGCCAGTGACACATGGTTGGGAACTCGGTGGACTCCTCTAACCTTCTCCACTTAAGTCCAGGTTTTTGTATGCGGCAGGGTTCGAACCCTTGGTATGCGCCTCCACACATCATGCGCTAAGCTCTTATCACTAGACCAAAGCTTTGGGCAATGTTCTTGATGCCTTTATTATTGCTCTTTAGTTTAATTGAGTGTGCTTCCTTTTCAACAGCCTGTATACCAGAGAGCAACAATTTTGTAGTAATCCTGCCCATTCCCGTAGCTTTCAATCTCCATTGGTATGTGTTGTCCCCATCTAACATTTTAGTTTAAAAAACAACTCCTGGAATTCGGGTTCCAGAAGGGCATATATCTTTAACAATTTCCACGTTAGGTACCACCTCAATTTTGTCCACTTTGGTAGCGAAATAGCGGAGTAAACCCATTTTTGAGGAACTTATTAGGATTGCAGCTTCCCTCTAACCTCAAATTTACGCGCAGATAAATCACCCAAATGTTCATTTTCATCTTCATATGCAACCTTTTAGTGCATCACTCTTTCTATTTTTAAACTCCTCAGCCATGCTTTACTCTAGTATCCTTCTTCAAGTGTCAAAGCCACAAAAAAAGTTTCAGGTTCCCCTTCTGTTATGATGACCCTGCAAAGATAATTTCCCAAAATTGAAAAAACCTTCAAGGGGACGGAAGTTCATAGCTGGTGGGCCTCCTTTACAGAAGAGAGGGCATGGATATGTTAGGATGTTCTTCTATGGAAGGGTGAGATTGAGTGGTTTGCTGAGTCTGGAGAATGGCCAATATTAGGGACGGAAGATGTTACGAAAATTTTATTAGGAGTTTCTTGGGTGAGTAAACGATAAAAAAAGGAGTTTCTTGGGTGAATGGTGGTGCTGAAAATTCCACTAAAAGGGTGATGGAAGTAATAGATTAAGGGTTGACAGGGAAGTTGAGATAGCCATCGGTATGATGTTCTTCCTTCGAATGCTTTGCAATGGTGAATTATTACTCTATGGAAAACATCACGGGCAACAGCGTTGATGTATTCTAATCCTGCTACTATTAGTAGGCTGACAGGATACCTTGCATCCTAAGTTATTGGTCAGAATTCGGCAGTTTGGGTTCGATTTGGACTGGCTAAAGTGGTTGAGCAAACCAAGTGAATGACTGAAAGACCTATATAGGGAACAACTTCTCTTCAATCTGTCAACCAAAAATTCTACCCCTTTTTAGTACTCGATTTGAAGACAATTGAGCTGCATACGCTGATATTTCTTAACTAAATAAAAAAGGAAGTACCAATCTCAGTAGTGTTTCACTTAGGAATTTTGCTCATTACAGGCTGTCTGCAAATCTTAGTCGCTTTTTCTTCAAAGTAATATGACCCCTAGAAAAGATAAGATTTCTTCATGAAGTTGTTCATGTGTGAAATTTTGAAAAAAATTTCATGAATAGAGCTGACAGGCTTAAAGTTCTTATTTCAGAACCAAAGCTATGAAAGAAGCATTTACACTTACTTTCAAATGTGCTTGTATCATGGAAACTTGTGCTGCTGCTTCCATATCTGCCTTTTAAAACTCCACATCTCTGATAATTTGGAGGAGCGTTTTTTACCCATTATGGGTCCTTATTGCCTTGTAGATTTCCCCTTCTTCGATGTTCCTATTGGACAAGCTACTTGCTCCTCCACAGCATTAGAAAGTTTTTTATCTTCTAGCTGCAGAGCCCAAAAAATTTCTTATTGGATTTGATTACTCTAGCTTGGATATCTAGGTCTTCAATAAACCTCTCTACACCACTTAATTAACTCTACTCTGCTTGCCGCAAACTAAAAAGCTTTGTTTCTGTGAGTGTTTGCAACAGTGGCATCTTCACTCTTTTGTCTTCAGCATATATCTTGACAATCATACAGTTCCATGTTTACGAGTGGCTGAAGAGTAAAAATTTCCTGGTGAGTTAGCTTTTTTCTTTTGAGTAAGATTTTCCTCGTGAGTTTTAATCCAGGCTTCTTAGGAATAGGTTTTAGTCCTAAGGCCAACTTCTGAACGATAATTTTGGATAAATTTATCAATCTGGCATGAACAGAGCCCTGAAGCAGCTGTAATTAGAACTGATGAAACTCCCCCCTGCTATCTGTGGACACTTGTCTTTGACCTTTCCCTTGAACCTTGTCTGCTTCGGCTTCCGTATGGGAAGGAATTGCTCTAGTATATGAAGAGAGCAGGGGAAAAAAGTTGCTGAAACTAAGTGATTTCCTATTGTCAAGCTTTTGCTTGGCGACTATTCTTGGTATATGGCTATATGCAAAAATTAATTTTCTGGATTCACTAACTTGACCATCTATCCAACTTAGGTTTAGTGTCAAAGCCATGGGCTATGAATTGAATGCACTAGAAGAGGCATCCTTTGAGTCTACGCATTTTTATAATTTTATGCAGTTCACTGAAAGAGGGTTCATATGCATAAGTTAGCAGCCAAAATAACACCGTGGTTGGTTAAAAATTGCTATTCTTGGAGCATTACGTAGAATCTCTAGCAATAACCCTCAGGGGAAGGCTACACAAAGCATAGAAGTAGCAAAGTTGCTTTCAACCCAAACATGTCAATTCATATATCTTCACTCATTGAATTGTATAGTGCTTAAACCTCAAGAATTTGCTAATGTTCCACCTCCTTCACGTAATGTGATTAAGCAAGAAGTAACTGCTAGTGGTTCTCTGACAAGTAAGTGTTTTTAAGAAGGGAGATATATAGAAGCCAATTGAGACAAACTTAATGTTAATCCAAGTAAATATGAATCTAGAAACATAAATAGCAAAATATATACACTGCAGTGGCTTATGAGAACAGATCTAAGATATAAGTGAAAATGCTAAAGACGATAAAAGGTGCTTCAGAGTATTGCCCATAAATTCAAGGTCAGAAATGAAAATTTTGGGATTTAAGCATTAAGTTATCATTGTGTCATCCAACTTGCTTCTATGTAAGTTATTTCATACCTTACTACTACCCTACATCACCCTTCTGAACTCCTATGCCCTATGCCTTTAATCTTCTTTGAATGATCCTTTTACTCTTCTAAGGTGAGCAAATTCATGTTCTTTTCTTGCAGATGCTACCCTCGTCGTTTGCCTTTTAGTCTGGTGATATAAACATATTGTTTTCCTATCACAAGATTGTTTTGTTTTGTATCTAGTGTTTCTGGGTGTCCCTGACTAGACTCTTGTTGCATTGCATCTACATAGGTTATTTGAAGCTCAAAAATATCCATATCTTCTATGTGTTCTGCTTACTAACCTATTCCCTTCTGTTTCTTACTAACCTATTCCCTTCTTTTAGTCTGATGATATAAACATATTGTTCTCCTATCACAAGATTGTTTTGTTTTGTATCTAGTGTTTCTGGGTGTCCCTGACTAGACTCTTGTTGCATTGCATTCACATAGATTATTTATTCTTGAGCCGAGGGTCTTTCGGAAACAACCTCTCTACTCTCAGGGGTAGGGGTAAGGTGTGCGTACACTCTACCCTCCCCAAACCCCACTTGTGAGAACTCACTGGGTTGTTGTTGTTGTTGTTCCAGGGAGGACTTCCGTAAGGAATTCCAGGAGCAAAATCCAGATGTCAAGTCAATGCGAGATGTGTGTGTCTCTTGAACCTCGATTCGATATATTATTTTAACTAGTTTTGATTGTATATGGCATTTTTCTCTTATATTTCCAATGATGTTTTGCATTTATATCATGCTGCAGGTTGGGAAAGCCTGTGGAGAGAAATGGAAAACAATGACATATGAGGTTTCTGTTCCCGAGCTAGCTTTTTCACGCTTTGTCTCTTTCTAGTTTGCTGCTCAGTTGTCTATCAGTGCATTAATTTTAGAGATGATTCTCCTTATACTGCACACATTAAGCTAGCATTCTGAGGATGGTCCTTAAATTGTTGTATAGCTTTTATTACATGCATGATCATGCCTTCTTTTGCGTTTGTCAAAGGGCTGTTATACGGGTACAGGTACTTCATATGGATTCTTCAAACAAACTAAAAATTAGTAAAAGACTGCACGTGCCGGTACTGTGTACTTAGACACAACTCATATTGTGTACATACCCTTAAACGAGTCTATGTAACATAAGCCAATACTAGTTTAGTTTTATTTAAGTTGTCTCCATTTTGGTGCTTTTCTTCCAGTAACTGCTGCACTAATATTTTGAACATGCAGTGAAGTTAATGACAAGATTGTCTCTTCCATAACTTATCTGACCAAACAACTGCACTTGTCATTTTAGTTTTGCACATAAGAAATGAATAAAGCATTTGCTGCCTGGCATCAAGGAAATCATTTTCTGGTAACTTTTATGTAATTGAGTTGAGGTTCTTTGTTCTAATCCAGAATAGTTACTAGTGTTAGTAGAAGAACTTTATCTCTTTGGTTACCTCAATTTGGAGCTTAGTTGCCCATTATATGGGTTGTTTTGATCGTGAGAGCATTTTAAATATGTTGAGTGGGAGAGGTCAGAGCAATTAAATTGTTTCAGCATCAAGTCTGAAGCAGCCTTAAATTATGTTTTTTCTGACCAGATTAATCCAAATAGGTCAAGTTTTCTTCTTTGGTTGATAAATCAAGTTCATTTCTTTAATAATACCCCAAGATGGTGTCATAAGTATTTACAAAGTGAATGAGTCGTTAAACAACATTTATCAATCAAGTTTTTACAATCATCTAGGCATGAAGGTGCTCATTATTTACCCAATAAAAGAAGGGGAACAAAACGGATTCTTAATACATGTAATTATGGAATAATTTCCTACTATTCTCATTCCAAATCGTCAAAAGCACACAACGGTATGGTCTTCAAATTGCTCTGTTCTGCTTGCTAAATCTCTGTGATCTCGATCCGGTTGTCTTCTCCACCGTCCCTGGATCACCCGAACCATCTCAAACAAGGAGAGTTTGAGATTCCAGTTGGTTCAAGTTCATAACCTATAAGAACTGGAAATTTTCTTCTGATCAGATATCTCAAGAAAAATTCTCTGTTAAACAAAAGGGCCTATAGTTGTATAATAGGAGGAACTGGAAATTTTCTTCTGATCAGAGATCTCAAGAAACATTCTATGTTAAACCAGAGGGCCTATAGTTGTATTGGGTGTGTAAGCTACCGAATAATTGTAGTTTTTCAGTGGTTTGTCCATGAGGCCATGTTACTAGTATAGGAAGTTTACGTTACTGGTATCCAACAAAGTTGTTCAGATGGAAATTATTCCTTAATTATGAGTTAACGCATAGGAAAAAGGCCACAGTTCTACTATTACAATATGGCTTTCAATCTGGTATTACCACAAGGAAAAAGGTGAAGGAAACAGAATTAGACTGTGGTGGTACCATCAACTACTTTTCCCTATGTATGTCTTTCTATTTTGGATGTGTAGTCTTAACATTGCTAAAAAAGATTTTAGGGAGAAAAGCATTCTTTGAAACAACTTATGCCGTTGTTTTCCGATATGACTACCCATTTCCTATACCTAGGACCTATCATCCCCTAGTACCATCTTTCTTTATGATGGGTAATTATCCATATCTACTGGCACCTGAATTGCAACCAAACATGGTTAGATAATCAAGAATTATATCTCTTTGTGAACTGTGTCCTTGCTCCTATTAGGTGCAAGAGTAATGGAGCAATATGATCGATTGTTATCCATTTTAGCAGAACCTGACTTGTGAGCAAACACGGGAAAAGTTAAAGAAGTTTTTATCTCTGTGTGAACTTTGCGATAGCCTTGCTTCTTTTTCGCTGAGACTAATGGGTACTCCTGAAGTTGTGCTAGTGAACCTGCAACACAACTAGTGAACTAGAGGGAACTGATAGAAAAGGATATCTGCTCTGTTTGGTAGACACTTTTGTTTGTTTTTTATTGAAGGATATTTTCCCTCTGTATTCCTTTATTTTTTTCTCTTTCAGAAGAAACTTTTTTTTAAAAAAATTGCCTGAAAGTGTAGTCACCCCCCACTACCAACTTCCAATGCTTTTCTGCTTTCATCTTTTTTCTTTTGTCAAGTCATGAATCCTTAAATTATTTAATCAGATAGTAGAAAAGTTCCTGCCGGCTTACTATTCACCAATCATTGGTGGTAAGCTTAGACAGGCACTAAAATACTAAGGAGAAGGCTAACTTATGTGTCATGCCCCAGGAATGTAGCCTTCTACCTTGTTGAGTTTGCACTATTAGAGAATATATTTTATTCCTCTTCCGCCATTTTCTTTCCCTAAGTTGTAGGGGCTAGACCTATCCTTTTAGCCAAAAGTGATCTTCTAAGATTTTCAGACTCACATTACCTGATTCAAAACTATGGGATATGGTTTTTCAAATTCCAAATCCAGCAAGTACCATTCAACATGGTAGGTAGCGTAATTTCAGATCACCTACTGAAGAATTGAAAGGCTGTTGGTTTTAAGCAAGGTCGGGACGGAGGAAACCCTGTATCGCTTCTGGGAGATGATCCCCTTCCTAGAGATTAGGTTCCTTATCTTGTTACAAAATAGAAGTCCACAAGTTATCAAGTATATCTGTACCAAACAACTAGTTCCAATTAAGTCCTCAATTTTTGCTTGATGAGCGGACTCCACGCTTGCATATTTGGACCATATTGTATAATCTGTATCTGTTAAAGCACTTGCTTCCCCCTGGAAATAGAGTTGTGAAGATCCAAGACCATTGACATTTGACTTTACTGGTTGTAGGAAAAAGTGCATTATTATGATATAGCAACAGAGAAACGAAGAGAGTTTGATAGAGCCATGGCGGACTTTAACAAGAGAAAGGTAAGCTTGTGCTTCCCTTCCTAGTTTCTTTAATTCCTTAACTAGCGGTACTGCAGAAATTGAGGCAGTATTGTTCTTGCCATGTGATGGAAACTATGTGCAGGAAAGTGGAGAGTTTCAAGAGTTCGAAGAAGACTCGGATTTTGATGAATAGTTCAGTCATTTTTCATAATCTTCAGATTTAGATGTTTGTTAGGAATAGTGTGTATTTTGGCATTGTTTCTGTACATCCAACTTCTCAGTCTATAGTCTCTCGGCTTTATGACTTAAACACCTTGGGTGACTGAAAAGTCCTCCTTTTCCCAACTAAACTAGAATCCACTTGATGCTCAACTATGGGTTCTCTATGTACAATCTTCTGTACATTAGCCTTCCAAGGTGTGTTTTATGTAACAACAATGGGGAAAATAGATGTTCGCTGAAATATTCTTTGTGCATAGTGCTGCACATTTCATTCTAGTGGAGCAATCCTTTTCTTTGAGTGTGTATTAATCTTTATGGTCTACTGCCTCAATAGCTGGAGCATTCACCCTATTAGGATTCATTTTAAACCTGTCCCATCAGGCATGCTAAAGAATTGTGCCTAGGGCTAGTTTTTATATATATCAAAGCCAAAAAACAAAGTGTTGACAAGTCTTACAAAATGTAAAAGCATAGCTAGTGATAATACATGGATCCTACTATCAAAATCGAGCAGGGTGCTTGACATTGTTATTACATTTAGAACTAGAGAATAACTGTGAAAATGGATAATAAAAACTAGCCAAATGATAATGAAGTAACTTGAATCCCAAAGTGTGCTCCAAGCATTGTAGAATTGTCCAGTCATCATGCTGCCTACTGGAGAATTGCACCTCCTAGCCACTCGACCAAATTGGTTCATTTGATGTAGATCAATACCTGGTCTAACAATCCAGAAGCCTAAACCATACGTACAAGCAGTTTCATTCACTGTCCAGATTTTTTGTAGTCCATGTTGGTTATGCGATTTGTCATCCAATTTTTGCGTGTAAGCCTTGCATGAAGCCATGTAAACCATACAACTGCACCTTCCTCATGTATCATAAATGATGTAGGTGCTTTGTATTCTCTTCCAATTGAGTCCCCCAAAGTCAAGTGGAAACCCATGCCTCAATTTGTTGAAACTGGGCAGTACGTGCTTCATGCGGGTATCTTCAAGTATTGTGCATTGTGTAGCACTGTTGTTGACTTGTTCAAACATTTTGAATGAGCTAAAGGAGCAGTGGCCATGAGTACATATCTTCCAAGTATGATTTTCAGAGATAAGAGGTCCTAGCAGCTCCTTTTGATCCTTGCTTTTCATACTTGTGCCTACCTCTGACATACCTTCAATGGAATGAGCACAAAGTGCTAATACCGCACATTGAAGATCTGCCAAATGATAGGGCATGTATACAATAGCTTCTCATGCAAAAAAAGAACACAGAGTTAGTGATACAAAGGACCACCATGCTCTCCTCCATAAGGACTTGAGCATAATGATAATTTGCTCCCCCTCCCTTGTATTCCATCTTCCATCTAGTGATCACCTCCATGCAAATTAGCTCCGTAGATATGGGCATTGTAGTTTATCACTATTCTCAATCCTTCTGCGTTGTGCCTTCAATTGATCAAAACTGCGTGCTTTAATATAGCCATTATCAAGGGCATTATTAGCCAAGTAATCAGCCAGCTTATTGCCCCTCTCATGAATCATGATATGTGAGACCCTAACATTACACCTCTCCATTATGCCTTTGATCTCCTCAACATATGCAACCACTGCCCAAGGTGCAATCGATGTGCCCTCTACTACATTCTTCAATAGCATGGAATCAGTTTGCACCAAGATATGTATGTACCAAGCTGCACACAATATCTCAATGCCTCCGGTATAGTAACTGCTTCAATGTTAGTAACCTCCTGTATTTCTTTACCTAGTGCAAACCTGACATCCCCTTGATGCCCCATCAATATTGACTTTTATCCATCCTTGAGTAGGAAGATCCCACAACACAAATGTCACTTTCAACTGTCAAGTATAAACCTCTAGCATATGCAATAAATCTGGCAACTTGTGTGGAACATTTTGTAGGCTTGGCTTCCTTACTTTGACCAGTGCTTGGAGTGTAGATGACACTTGATAGATCACTCTGCTGATTGAGACAGCTTCCCCATGCTTATAGCTATTTCTTCTCTTCCAAAGCTCCCATAAATGATGAAAGGAAGTGCTTGAAAAATAGGTTTTAGCCTAGGAACAACCTGGACAGTCCAACATTTAACTACTGCCTGCTGCAAAGATAAGCCATCTATTGATATGCCTGCATTTGAAAGAAACTAGTACCATACTGTATGAGCTTCATAGGATATGTAGAATACATGAGCCAATGTTTCTTCATCTGTATTAAGGCAACACCAACATCTAGAAGACATAAAATATCTCATTCTCTTAAATGTATCATCAAGAGGTAGCTTGCCTTTTCAGATCTTCCACATAAAGAAAGCTATATTAAAAGGCAAACCCTTCGCCCACATATTTTTATATGCAATGCTAGAGTCTCTTCTTCTCCTAAGATATTCCCGGGCAGATTTGATAGTGAAATTACCCCTGGCCTCCAACATCCAAAAAGGTCTATCTAGATCATCATGTAGTACCGGAGGCTTGACATTCTCAATAATATGTAGTGCCAAATCATGAGGAAGAATGTCCATCAACCTGTTCTCATCCCAGACTCCCTCCTGTACCACCTCATAAACATTATGAACAGATTCATCACAATAAAAGTCCTGTGGAGTAATGAAATACAAGGCTAGGGGTCGCAAAATGGTTCAAAGAAAACAGTTAACCACCCATATTATCCACTAAAAAATGGGTTGGATAATGAACTTTTTAAAAACGGGTCAAATATGGATAAGAACCATATTATCCATTTAGAAAATGGATAACCAATGGGTCTAACTTTTACATTTGTAAAGCCTCAAATTGGGGGTTCCTCAAGTTAGAGAGACTAAGAATTCTCTCAAAAGTGATCATATACAAGAAGTCATGGATAATATGGGTAACCCATATTATCCGTCGGTTAACCCGTTTTTATCCGTATTAAATATGGGTCGGGTCGGATAATTGATCCGTTTTTTCATTACCCGTTTTCAACCCGAACCATATCCGACCCGACCCGCCCGTTTGCCACTTCTATACAAGGCCCCTAACCTGTCCAATTGTCAAACAAAATAAGGAAGATCCCATTCTTGGTTGCCATATGATTTGATGCTCAATGTCATCTCTACATTGCAACATCCTCTTCCAAACATGAGATCCGTCTCTACATGGTACACCATAGCATTTAATTTCTTGCAATATTTTTGACTAGTGAAATAACTCCATAAGGTAGGTTTAGTTCTAAAGTTCCACCAAAGTTTATAAAACAATGCTTTGGAGACATTATGAAGTGATCTAAACCCTACCCCTCCTTCTTCACATGGTAGGCATAATGTGTCCCAAGAAGCCCAGCGCTTACTCTTTCCTCCAACTGAATTACTCCAGAAAAATTGTGCAAACATTTTGTGCAGCTTGTTAATAATAAAAGAGAGAGGATTCACTGCTGACAACAAATGTATTGACATACTTTGAAGAACATGTGATATCAAAATTGTCCGACCACCAATAGAGAGTAATTTACCGTTCCACAATTGAAGTTTGTCAAGCACCTTGTTTATGAGACCATGATAATAGTCCATTCTCCTCCTTGCATAAAAAAATGGGGCAGCCTAGATAGGTGAAAGGAAGTTCCTGCCTGCCTATTCCAGTATTCCTTTGAACCTTGTTCACCACTTCAATACTTGTAGAATGATGCATGTACACTGCTGATTTGACCTTATTAATTAATTGTCCAGAAGCTACTTCATAAGCACTAAAAACCTCCATGATCAATTGTAGTGAAGTTTCATATGATGAAGCATTATGCATATGCGACCGCAGATTGTGTTTTGGAGCTTTATTTTTCTGGTTTTGAAAACCCAACCCCGTTCTTATAAAACAATATTGGGGGTCATTTTAGAAGGTTCAAACTCATATTTTGAGAGTGGAGAAGTGCTCTAGAGTGGGAAAGAGTTCCTCAAGCAATTGTTCCTCAATTCTTGCTCAAATCTTGGAAGATTAACAAGGGAAAACTCACTAGGTCTTCATCCTAGAGGTAAGATTCTACACCCTAACCTTCAATTTCGAAATTTAACTGAAAATGGATAATTAGTAAGGCAATTCTTGGGTGTGGGAGTTGTTCATCTTGCATGCATGTGTGTATCAAAGGGTGTAGGAAGATTGTTAAGCTAAAAATGATAGGTAAGGGGTTGGGGATGATGGAATCCACCATAGGAGGACCTTGAAACCTTAATGCACACCTAGTGTTCCATAAAATGCTCAAGTTAGCTGGAACGATAATCATCTTCCTATTTTTTGGTTCAATTTGTTATATTTCTAATATAGATTGAAGTTGCTAAGATTTTCGGAATATTTTAGAGTTTAAGGAAGCTCAAGTGAGGTATGTTGGCTAAACTTTTCTCTTGGAATTGAACCCCACAATGTCATTGTACGTCCCGAGTTACCCATTATGAATCGATTATTCCGAATAAACTTTGTGTTGAAGGAGATATGGGTTCAATATGTATTCCAAATGCTCTTGTTAAGTTGTACTACTATTTGATAACGTGTTCAAAGTATGGGTTGCTTATCTAAATGCTATGGCTTCAAGTTGCGTTTCAAATGATAGCTAATGTCAACTGTGTAAGAAACTCAATGTGCTTAAGATTCTTGTTTGCTCATATGTGTGCTTAATGTCTTGAATGTAAGTGCCTTGTTGTTAAAATCCTTGATGATGGTCGAAAGTGAAAAAGGTGATCATGAAATGTGAAATATGAAATACGGCCAACATGCCAGATAAAAGGGGGATATTACGATTGTGGCCATCAATGCCAATGAAATGAAAATGTGTGAAAGAAGTATGAATGAGATAGAAAAGGGTGATATCTCATATGAGACGGCCTAGCCGATCGGGTCATGATCGGATGCCATGCCGAACACATGGTAGTGATTGTGTTGAAAATTGTAACTGAAATTGTGATTATGGTTGATGTCTCATATGAGAAGGCCTAGCCGATAGGGTCGTGATCGGATGCTGCCGCACACATGGTGGTGATTGTGTTGGAAATTGTAATCGAAATTGTAAACGGTGGCACATGGGTACTAAAGATCTCCAAACCTAGAATATGGAAATTGTTTGAAAACTTGTCTTGTTCCTAACTTGATGTTTTGGATATTATTAAGACTCCCATTGATGCTTATGATTATTCATTCTTGTGTTATCATTCGTTATATTGAGAGGGTATTTAGTCATTCATACTAGTACTATTCCACATGTACTAATGTCCCTTTTGCCGGGGGCGCTGCATCTTTAATGGGTGCTGGTGGTTCCATAGCAGTCGGCTCGGT